ATTAATTCGGCGCATCTTTTGCTAAGTGTTCGTAATGCAAGTTCGTCCAGTGGATTTTTGTATTTACGGTACCTCAAACAAAGTTTATTTTTTCCTTGACTTTTTGTGGAGGGTTATAGTTTACCACCGGCGATTTTTCCGGACCGATACGACCTAGGGACCTTCAAGAAAAGAGCTTACTCCTTTATAAAGGGCCGGCAACGCACCTGCAATTCCCCTGGTGTTGCGGTTGATCATGGGCGGCGGTAGTCACTTAACATCCGGTGAGCCGCATGCTCGTTTGCCCCCTCTTCTATAAAAAAAAGTTGTTGGCAGTAGAGATCCGAATCGATGGTTTTGCCCGGCGGTAAAACCTCATAATAAAGATGGCCTTCCAATCCCACCATACACACAGGTGGAGCTTGACTAGCCGTAGGCCATTATCTTTTTCGCATATTCTTGTCGTAGGTTATCCACTTTTCATCACCAGTGATCAATCTTTTTAAAAATAATTCGGTTTCATTACGTTTTAATAGAGATTCGTAAATGAGTATACGATTCATTAGGTTTCTATCAGTGAGCTCGTGTGGTATCCAGATATCAAGCATTTTTATATAGCCAGAATTTTTCAAATGGTTTAAAACTGTTTTGTGGTCAATCCTCAATTCCTCGGCTATATCGTAACTCATATAATATGTACTAATATGCCGATCTTGCTTCACTTTTAAAAAACGGTATCGACTTTATCCATATGAAAGCGACCAGAGCGAGCTGCATTTTTGACATTAAAATTCCCGGACTGAAAACGCTTGAACCAACTTTATGCTGCTCTTACTGACATTACATTAGGTCCATTAATGTCACAATATTTTTTCGCGTTTTGAGTCGTATTTTTCCTTTCTTTGTAATAAAACTTCAGAATGTATCGAATTTCTTCGTTCGATTCACTCATTTTGGCGGACAGAAAAACAATTAAAAAATTGGCGGGAAAATGTTTTTTACTTTTTATTTTTATTAATTTCCTATATGTATTGATATTAAAACCCGCCAGACAAACAGTACAACCAAAGAAATTTTTCTTTAATTTTATACAAACAAAATTCGAAGAAACTTTATCCCGGACCTATTATTATGTTTTTATGGAAGCCCGCTTTAAGTTGCAGCCAATCTTGTCTGGAACTCCTCTGATATAATTATGGTAGTACAGCAGGCACACGCTAGACTGTAGCCGGCTTCACTCGGTCACTGTGACGTAGGTGTGAGACCCGAAGCTTGTTGTGCAGAACCTGCTTGACGTGCTGAAGCTCGGCGGCCAGGTGTTTACCATCATGTATCCCCTGTGCTCTCTGAAACAAAGATTTTCCCACGGTAACTAACTGTGAATGATGGTGGTGAGATTCACCGTTTAAATATCGGTTAGTATGGATCTTTTTTATACACAGCAATACTGATGGTCTTACTAGGTTTCGAATGACTAAAATATCTGAAAAGGCTAAAGAATTATTTGCCTCTAACTCCATAGTGAATTGAATTTTAGAACTATGGAGTTAATGTGGTCTAAGAATACAGTAACTTTGCCTGATGGTAAAATTTTGAGTCTCGCTCACGTATCGCTTGTAGAATCATGGATACACAGGTGCAGTGAGAAGGGCTTTCTGCTCGAAGTCCTCCAAATAATTTTTCACCGGCAATAGGCTAAAAAGCCGTATTAGAAATACATTTTAATTGCAGCACTCAAAAACCGTCGTGGTAAAATATGTTTTTAGTAGTGCGTATCTGTATTGATAGTTTAGGGAATACGTACAAACGGTCGGCCACTGCTTCCCGGTACGCGCACTCGCGCTAATTTATTCCAATTGTCGGAGCGATCAAACTATTTGCAGACGAGAGTGTGCAAGGAGCGATGGCACAAAAGCACGTACGCCTAATTTTGCTAACGGGGTACATCCAAACTAAACACGGTCATAATAGCACAATCACCTAATTCGAACCTTAGTTTTTGAAATTGACCACTTCTGGTTTGTACGATTTTTAGCCAACGTCATAGCAGGAGGACGACTGTATATATTTTTTTGTATTTATGTTATGAATTATGAAGTGATTTTGATGGTTTGTTTTTATTGAATGGGTTTTACGTCAGGAGGTCACATATGAATATGGATCAAAAAATTCTACCTCTAAGAGTGGCAAAGTGACGCTAACTCACATGATCTGCTGATCATGTGGTCCATCGCGCTGACAACCATTAGACCAATAAATGTACTTTATTAAATCTGATTTATAAAAGTATTTAAATCGTCTTCCCGCAGTCTGTCTTCTATCTACGTGAATTTAATTTGGTATCTCCGTGCGCTATCACTTTGAAACTATCGCTAGTCAATGAAAATAGACTACCTACATTATGATCATCTGCTAGTATCCAGTCGTGATTTTACTTGGCAATACACATAAGCTTTGAATATATCAACTATTTCGCAAATTTTAAACAATTTATAAAGGTGTGGGATTTAGTTTTTCTTTTTTTTGCATAAAATACGATCCTGTGGTATTTTGTATGTCTTTCATGGGATCGATCGACGTCAAGAAGTGGAATATATACGAGCTGATGATAATGAATCGTCATCATTGTAGCCTATCAAAAGGCCTCCCGCATAGATTGTCTCATAGGGGTGATATTTACCATAGTTGGCGCGTTGGCAGACGGGTTGGCAATCGCAGGTTGTTGGTGCTGCTACACATGTTCCGCTTCATTCCCCTCTGTCGCCTCTTACGCCACTACCCGCCCGTGAATGAATCATATTTGTAGGTAATATCATTATGACTATTGTATATAATATTGACTATTATAATATCTAATATATTAAAATAAATGTTTGTTTATTCCTATTTTATGCACTGCCATACTGTTTATCAGGTTACGGTAAAACTTTGTTAATTTATTGCTTGCACTTGCTTGGTTATAGGCATAGTACAATTAGCTTACGGTAGGTGGCGTAGGTATTGTAGCGATAAATTTATTTGAAAGTATCATTATCATTCCTAATTGAATAGTATAACTCTTCCAAATTTAAAATGACATTTTCACAATTATTTCTTCTGCGGCAGTAAACAGTGTTAGTATTATATATAATATAAAAAATAAATAATATGTAGTTTAATAATAGTTATTAAATACCCGACGTTTCGAGCGTCGCGACGTCGGGTATTTATAGTTAAATATACGCGATAAAATCCGTAAAAACTAGTATTATTTCAATGTGTAGTGTTCGCGTAAATATAAGAAATCATTAAATAGTTATTAAAGTTAAGAGAAATTACGGAGCTATATAATTATAACAATATTTACGGCACGGTACCTGCCTTTTCACTGATAAAATAAAAATGTTTCGTATAGGTTGGAAATAGTGTGCTACTTCATAATCTTAGGGGTTGAATTTTTCAAAACTCTTATGCCTTAGTCACCTGAAGGCAGGTACTGTCCGAATTTCAGATTTCTTGGTCAAGCTGTTTGGGCTCTGCGTATACGTACGTGTTGATTTCGTTTGTAATTTGTATTCGATGTAAGATTATCTATTCCTTGGTCTTTTGTTGTTACTTTAGCATCTCATCTTAGGTGTTTTGACTGTTTCATTCGATTCCCTAAATCGTGTTCTTATAATTAGTTAATAGTATCGAATTATTGTGAACATAACGCGTAATTCGAGCGCGACCTTTTCTGTCATCATGGAATGTCGTTACATCAGAGACGATAAGTTGGGCTGTTATCACGATCCTTCCCAGTAGATACTGTGCCGTCACCGTCACTCGTTATCCTTCACGCCGGGTGCGTTCCGAATGCGTTTTACGTTTATCTGTATTATGTGAATAGATTTCGCTTTATTTGTTTTGACATGTTTTTTCCCCGCGCTTTTGTGTTTTTCGTTTCCTTCTCAGTGGATACCAAAAGTAAATAGACGAGACACTGAAAGAGAAATTAATATAAAATTTTATTGAATTGTACAGAAAATAAAAAAAATAATTTAGAAAAGTTAACGACTTCCAATTATTTGTTTACTTTTGTTGGAATTTATATGAGCTGTCTGTGAAAATTCCTTCGGAGATACCGCTCTATTTGTTTATTTATCAATTTATGTATAAACAAACAATGGAGATTACAAGTCATGAATCATGATAAAGACCCTTAAATGTAAAAAAAAAATGTAAAACGTACTTTCATAATGCACTTGTGTAAGGTAAGAGTAAAATGTGCTGCGCAAAAAGTCTGCACTAAGTTTTTTAATGATCACATCATAAAATCGGAACCTCTTATTACCTATATACCTCTTATAACCTATTATATATAGATTCATAACTTGTGAAACTGTACTTTAGAACCCTCCCTCCCTACTTTACTACATAAAAATATTGTTGTAAATGATGGAATTTCATAAAAATTATAACTCTTTAAGTATCTCGTATTAGCTTCACTCATGGACATTAAGATTTGTCAAATAACATTTCAAATAAATAATATAACAAATAACGAACTCGCATAAATTAGAGGATATACAGAAATGGGGGTATATAACATACAACAAAATAATTAAATAAGAAAAATCTATTTTAATGAGCGTATGACTTAATCATTAAAAGTAGTCAGGTTTTAGTTTCATGTTTTTGGTTTTTGAAGTATTTTTGGATCATATAATAGTCGGTTGTCGTATATTGGCGGCGTATAACATCGTTTCGTCCCTGGGTGTCAAAAGAGGGGATTATGGGGAAAGGCATAAAAGTTTGATGGCTTCATCGAGATGCTAAACGTAAAATACGTAGACCAGCGACGGACAGCAGTGGAATTTTACGGGATTAGGAAGAACTCGGTAGTCAAACCCTCGTGCGTTAGTTAGCAAGGTGCCACTGCGTGCAGGTGGAGTTAGTATTTGTAGAAAAAGTGGGCGTTTTACAATCCCTTTTAAAATCCTTAATGCCATATTATTTTAATTAATTTTTCAAAATTAATTTTGATATTATTTAAACGTCAGATGACATCAGGCCTACATGGGCATGGGCACCAGATCTCGCAGCCAGCTCATCACTTGGAGTCCACGGTGCTACCTGCTAAGGAGAAGACTGTTCATGGCAAGGAGAAAACCTTCAAGGTGAGAATTTGTACTATTAAACATAGGTTTTATAATATCAAACAAATCTAATGTTTAAATAAGTTTAAAAAAATTATATTTATATTTATTTAGATTACTTCAATATAATACTTTGTTACAGTTTAGTTTTTGCCTTTCACATACTTATTATTTATTAACCAACTTTGCTTTTTCTGATGTAATATTTTTTCTTATTTAGGGCGCATTTTTCAATCCCCAGATAAAATTTATTAGTAGAATAAAATATAACATACACAACTATCAAAAAAATATTAAAAATTACGGTTATATTATATAAATAAATAAAATAGTTCAATTGATATTTTTATCTAGCGATTGAAAAAATCAGACGTAAATCCATTAACGAATCAATATTACATAATAAGATGTAATGATTTAGGTGGTGATGGGCGGTGAGGTGGGTGTGATGAAGGCGCCGGTGCTGGGCCCGCGGCCGTACAATGCGCTCGCCATCATACACACGCAGCAGAGCAACACCTTCGACATGCTCAACTCACTAACAACCAGTGTGGTGAGTCTCACTGCTCTATCTTTAAAATTACTTTAAAATAAGAATTCATACTTACTTAGAAAGTTTGTTCTTGGTCACAAACATCGGTCACCACTCAATGGTGTTTTTTAAAAAAATTTTTAACTGACAAATTGAAGAGGCCTACAAACTGTGTGTAGAAACTACAACTGCTGTTTTGAACATGTATTCTTTTATCGCATCGCATTTCTTAACCATCATTAATATTCCAGTTTGGTCCAATATCAAACAAGTTTCTACTCGCGAGTGAATAAGCTTTTGTTAGACCGTGGTTACAAGTGATTAATTGTGATGTGATTATATATTAGAAAATTATGGTCGTATGATTTTCATTTGTTATTTTTAGGCGAGTCAGCCAGTGGTGGGAGTGGGAGTGGGCGGGTACCGGCGGCGCAGCTCGGGGCAGGGCGCGCTATGCGATCCCGAGCTGGACGACAGCGGGAACAAACTCGTCGCGCGCCTTGAGGACGATGCCTTCATATCCGAACAGGATCTGGTAAGTTCTAATCAGTAAGATTTTTCCAGAAAAAATGTTAAAATGATAATAAAAATAAAAATGATTGTAGTAAGAGTTAATGGTCAAAGAAAAACATTAATTCTAAGTGGTCATTGTCAAAGTACTATAACGATCTACAATGGCGTGCCCAAAGTAGAACAGTAATTTCCTCTGACCATTGGAGTTATTATGATTACTTTCAACGATCGCAATCATAATAACTCAAATGGTCTTTGTAAAATTAGAGCAGCTATACCCAGTGGTCAAAGGTGACGGGTAACAGTTTTTATATTGTTAAACAGTAATTTACAATAGTCATACTCAAACTAGATCAGCAATTTCCAGTAACCATACCAGCCTGTGGTAATTTCTTAACTAGGGTAGCAGTTAACTAAGGTCATTTTCAAACTAGAGCAATTAAATAAAATATTCCTGACGGTTGTACTTATTACTTATCCCTACAGTATTACTTAAACTACAGCTGCAATTCGGAAAGATCATATTAAAACTAGATACAGCAAGTTCCAAATAACATACTGGAACTAGAGTAACAATTTCCAATGATCATGCCCCAACATAGAGCTGAAATTCCTAATGGTTGTACTCAAACTTGGGCAGCAATTCCCAATGTTTGGTCAAAATAGAGCAGAAAATAGGCTCTCAACTCCAAATACATAAATGAATTTAGCCAATATGTCTACTATATTTATTATCGATATACGTTATCTATACTTACGTGGTAGTCATGCTGCAGCTAAATTGTGATTGCAGCACGAAAGGGTCGTCTCGACCGGGATAGGACACGCTCATAAAATAACAGCATAAAATAGCGGCTTAAAGCTGTGTTTCATATTGTGAGCGTAGAGACCCTTTTTGCTGGAAACGAGGAATTCCATCTCAGTCCTCAGGGGTGACAACGCATCTGCATTTTGATTCTTAATTGAGTATAAATATAGATGTCTATGGGCCACAGCATCTACTTAACATCAATTGGGCTGTATGCTCGTTTGTCACCCTTATTCTATAAAAAAATAACTTAACTGAACTAAAACATTCAGATCATAAAACCATTTACGTGGTGGACAAGGTCGTGAAAAGCCCTATCGTACATTTTCGCAACACTGCTTTATTATGGTCAATACAGTAAGATACGACACGTCATAAAAAACCTGATATGCCTGTGTTCACTTCAGCATGGTTCATATTTTAGTTGAGTGCGAAAAATGATTTCGCAACTTTCGTATCACCTGCAGGTGGACGTGTATATATATTTATGTCAGTACTTAAAACAATATCACTAATACGGTATAATTTATTAAGTAAAGTTTAGTATTTATACACCTCAAAGAGCTCATTGTTTTATAGATCAACATATCTTTTTAAATGACATGTTATTGAGCAGTTTAAAAAAGGTCGACAATATTTAATATGTTATTACTAATATGTTGAAGTATTTAATTTTTATCAGCCGTAGTAGCTCGGGTTCGATCCCCGCCGGTACCAATGAAATTGTTAATTGCAATTTTAAGTGCTGATTTACCACGTGCTCGGCGGTGAAGGAAAACATCGTGAGGAAACCTGCATGTCTGAGGAATAAGAAAAAAATATTTCGAAGACATGTGAAGTTCGCCAACACGCATTGGGGCAGCGCGACGGATACTTGCTTGCCCTAAAACCCTCTCAGAAATGAGGGGAGACCTGTGCCCAGCAGTAGGGACGTATATAGGCTGTAACTTTGCTTTTATTTAATTTTTAATCATTTTATATTTATTTTCAGGAAGAAAATATTGAGATTGCGACAGCGACTGCAAAGGGATTACCACATGCAGATGATACAGGAGGGGAGCAACCGCAAGAACAGCAAAATGGTAAAAAAATTACTACTTAGTAATTAAGTGCCTAATATAACTGTTTCAAACTAATATAATATGCTGTAAAAGACTTGTACATCATAGAAGTGGATAATTTGTTAAACACAGTCTATTTCTTCACATTTCCTACCTACGATAGGTAGGTTGGTAGAGTTGCACAATGTAAATTCTTTTTTCGGTATGATACAAAAAATGCTAAAAATATGACAATGATTTCTTGTTTGAAAAAAGAAATAGATATTTATAATTGTTTAGTATTGTAATTTGGCTAACTACTTGCTGAGTGTATAGAGTCGTTCTTCTTTATAAGTTTCTCTAAATCCACTAGTGAACAAGCCTTCTTAGAATGGCCAACTATACACAACTTTGACTCTTAAGAGAGTATCAAAGACTAAAGGCAATCAGCCAAAGATGATTTTGCATGAAGTCCAGTGGGTAAATCTATACGTGTCTATACATATAAATAGACATGAATAAACATTTTTAAAATGTTTGTCTGTGTGTCTGTTTGTCCCGGCTAATCTTCGGAATTTGTAATGAAACTTCACAAGCAGATGGAGAGTAATGTCAGGAGTAACATAAGCTATATATTAACGCCACACAAACGAATCCTGGGTGGGTTGCTAGTTATTAATAAATGGTATAGATTTTTATGATTAAATAAGATTATCTTGCACTGTCACTTGCAATGTAACAACACTTGACTAAGTTGTTTTTTAAGCTTCCATTTCCTGTTTATGTCTTAGCTGCCACTTTCAGTCAATTTTGAATCATGTGTGGTTCCATTTTCTTTATCATGTGTTACTAATTCAATACAATAATGAATCATAGATATTTAGATGTTCAGAAAAATAAAATCATCATATTTGTTGTCATTGTTGGTATAAATATACTACAGTAATATTGTATATTCCAGCAGTTTACCAATAGTTTTTATTTATTGTTGGTTTATAAAAATGAATCTTCATATTGAAATCGTCTTTAAAGGTTTGGTGTATGGTCCCATATACGACAAACTGGAGCTGGAGAAGGACAAACAGAAGCAGGATAAAGAAGATGAAGAAGAACCAATCGGTGTATCACCTTGTGGAAGGTACGTCAAATTATTATTTAACATTATGCTAATACTTAAATTTAATGAACTTACAATCCAAGTCATTTTGTGTGGTTTCAATTTACTGATTTATTATTCAGTTCAAAATAAATTTAAAAGAACAGTTCTCAATATTTGCAATCTCAGTACAGGACTGTTTGGACATATTATTAAATAATTTCACTAGACACAGCTAAAATCCTTTTTTTCTGATTATAACTTAAGGTAAAACCTTTATTTCAGGTTCTTTAAGTATGACAAGGAGGTGGGACGAGGCTCATTCAAAACAGTATACCATGGGCTAGATACACAAACGGGAGTTGCTGTTGCTTGGTGCGAGTTGTTGGTATGTCATTTCAATTGTAAAAAATAGAGTAAGGACCATAGAGATTTTAATTTTTCTTTTATGTGGAAAGCTTCCAGGGCTAGCCCAAATTTTTGCTCTAGATGATGTATATGTATATTTATACATATAAATAAAATTGAAATGTGTGTCTGTATTATTGAAATAACTGCTTTCTCTTAAGCTCGGGGGGGGGGGGGGGGTGATGATCTGCATTACATTAAGACATAAACAACCATTTAAAAAAATTGTCAGTCTGTCCGGGCTGATATTCGGAATAACTGATTCGATTGTGTTGAAACTTTATGAACAAACAGAATTAGATATAGGAAACTTTTAGTTTTGGTTTTAGTTTTTAAATATTGTATTGTCCTATGATGTTTCGGTTGTCTTGGAACTAAATTATTTAGTATCGTAAAATGGGACCACAGACTTGATATTTCAGATGTGCCGCAGGGATGGACTTTTGTTATTATACTTTATTTTGCAATGTGGGTTCAAAATAAGTAATATAGGTAATGGTGAAGAAAAATTAATTAAAAAAATCTGAAACATTCCATCCTTTTTATCTTTTAAATTTGGAATGCGTGGTAATGAATTATTATAACTGATTCTCATTCATAAATATCTAACGCCTAATATTTTTCTGCGCACGCGCACATTCGTAACGGTCACTCGGTCGGGAAAAACATTGTGAATTTAATCACAAAAATCTTCTACTTTTATATGAAATGGGCTAATTTCAAATAAAAGTTGAAGCCTTATATACTTCTATTTTCAAAAGCAGCAATAACGGTATATTATTATTTATATACTTGAACTTAAATATAAAATGTGGATACCCTTTCAAAAATATAACCCCGTATGTTAAAATAAGGGGTCCATGTTAATGTAAACATTCTCATCAGGTTGCTTTATTATCTTATCCTGCTATATATGAATGAATATACTTTATTGTACACCACAAACAAAGTTACAAAGAACATAACAGAGAGCAGATTACATGTACAATTTGGCGGCCTTATCGCTACATAGCGATCTCTTCTAGGCAACCAAAGGTGTAAAGGAATAAAACAGTGAATACTAGGTAGGTGGTGCAATATAAATATACCTAATATAATATCAATATATGCAATAAAATAACATATAAATAACTAATACATTAAAAATATGATACACATATACATACGTATATACATATACATATATACATATACATATATATACACATACATATACATACATATATCCTCAAATATATACCACTAACAATAACATAAACAAATAAATACAAAGCTACATAATCACATAATTTATCCTAATGATTTTCGAACGATTGAGACAAGTAATGCTTTTTAAGAAGTCGCTTAAAGACTACAATAGTCTGAGCTTCGCGTATATACAAAGGTAGGGCATTCCAGACCTTAATAGACTGTACAGTAAAAGATTTATTAAAGAAAGATGTATTGTGAGTTGGTACCCTTAAAATGAGTTTTCTTGAAGAGCTTAAAGGTTCCCCTGGAAGCCCAACAAAACTAAAGTTCTCCTTAAGATAAGGAGGAGTAGAAGGGTGAAATAAGACACAGTACAGAATAGAAAGAATATGCATGTTCCGGCGAAATTGGATAGGTAACCACTTGAGACGTGAGCGAAATTGGGAAATGTGGTCAAATTTGCGCAATCCAAATATGAACCGAATACTAGTATTTTGAAGTCTCAAGCTTAGTTAGCTGGTCTTTAGTTATGTCTACATAGCTTGCGTCAGCATAGTCGAGAATCGGAAGGAGAAGAGACTGTGCGAGCATGATTTTTGTAGGAATAGGAAGAAATGATCGAAGGCGCCGCAGTGAACTAAGAGCGACAAAGGTTTTCTTACTTACCTCGTTCAGTTGGCGTTTCCAATTTAAGGAACTATCAAGGTAAACACTAAGATTTTTGACATGGTCAAAGTAAGGGATCACAACCCCATCGAATACAACGGGTGGTATGGAGAACCAGTCAATTATTGAGATAAAGCTCTGACTACCAAAAATGATAGCTTGTGACTTTTTAGGATTGACATTTAGGCCATATGATTGATGTAGCGATTACATTCGGCAAATTCTCAAGAGTTGACTGGGTGTAAATCTGGACATCATCCGCATACATGTGGTAGAGAGAAGAAATTTTATGAGTAATTGAATTAATGAAAATGGAAAAGAGTAAAGGTGACAACATGCCACCCTGCGGCACACCTGCAGTAACATCACACCAAGATGAGTGAGTTTCATCAACATGAATACACTGCCGACGGCCACAGAGATAACTTTGAAACCAGTCAATTACTGATGGAGATATGTTAAGGGAATACAACTGACTCAACAGTATATCGAAATCAACAGTATTGAACGCATTACTGAAATCTAGCAAGGTCATGACTGTGAGTTGTTTATTATCCATACCCCACCGTATGTCATCAGTAACTTTAATTAAGGCAGTAGCCGTACTATGACCGGGACGGAAACCGGATTGTAAAGAATTCAACAAATTGTGCTTATTAAGGAAAAGTGTCTGTTGGCAAATAAATTTTTCAAGGACTTTAGAAAGGAAAGGTAAAATCGAAATGGGACGGAAATCAGTGAGGTTGACGGGATTAGATTTCTTCGGAAGGGGTATAACATAAGCACTCTTCCAGGCTTGGGGGAATTTAGAGGAAGATGCACATGCGTTAAGCAAATGAGTGATAATGGGAGTGATAACATCAAGGAGAGGAACGATCATATTACGGCTAATGCTGTCGCTACCGACAGCATTTGAGGAGATGGATAATATGATTTTCTTAACATCACATACAGTAAATTGACTAAAAACGAACGGAGAATAATTAGGAGTCGGACTTACAGAAAGAGAACGAAGTGTTTGCAGTTTATGTTCACTATCAAAAGAGTTAGAAGGATTAGAAAAATTTTGATTTAATAGTTCAACATCAACACTGGGAGGTGAAGTATTAAGAGAGGTTCTACCAACTCCAACTGTTTTAAGAAACTTCCACACCCTAGATGAGTCGCAGTTCTCGACTGAAGAATGAATATGGCGTCGTTGTGCATCTCTACACAATGTGTTGCAGCGATTCCGGATTTTAGTGTATTTTCTAAGGTTTTCCTCTGTTATGTGCCTCTTAAGCTTTGACAATGCCGCATTCTTCTTCAAAATTAGCCTTTTCAGATCATCAGAGAGCCATGGAGCAGGTAAGTGCTTGAGTTTAACATGATGCATTGGCGCGTGTACGTCATATAGCTGAGTGAGAAGGGAATTGAAGAGTTCCACTTTATCGTCAATGCATGGTGCTCTCTCAATCACTGACCAGTCAATATTATGAGCATCTTCGCAAAATTGGTCAATATCCATTCCTCCAAAATTACGTCGTAGAACTAATTTAGGTTTGATTTTAGGAAGGCGTAGTTTATACGAAAGGAAAAGTAAATCGTGATAAGAGAATGCATCAGCAGGACACTGTCCATGCTTGAAAACTAGGTTTGAAGATGACACGATAATTAAGTCCAGAAGGGAAGGAGTACAGTTAGGAAATTTGTGAGTAGCAGCAAGGGGTAGGATTTGCATATTGCACGCTTCAATTATAGACTCAAGTTTTATAGCCCGATTGTCGCCTTTTAAGTAAACAGGTGTTAAAGTCACCCATCAAAATAGTATAATATATGTAGGGACAAGTGATTCTAAAAGATTCAAAAGAAGTAAAATAGTTTATAGAAAGAGAGGGACTGTAGAAAACTTCAAGTTGGATTTTATTCTGAGACAGGGAGACCTCAACTAGCAAATGCTCAGCAGAATCACCAGGAGGCGGTTGACATTACGAACTAACAATTTTAAATGGAAAGTAGGATCTTAGGTAGATCGCCACGCCCCCACCACCTCTATTACTGCGGTCATTTCTAATTAGATGAAACCCAGGCAAAGAGTAAGAAGTAGAAGGCAAACAGGGTTTTAGCCAAGATTCTGAAACTAAAATGGCGTGAATATTTCGGGATTCAAATGACGCAAGCATGTCGGGATAATGAGCCGGAATGCTTTGGGCATTAATATGAATAGCATTGAAATTATTCACACAGTCTGAGAAACAAGAATTTAAGGTGATATTGAGTGAAGGAGAAGCAGTTGTACTGTGATAACTAACATCACTAAGTGTCTCATCATCCGAAGACAACGACAGAAACAAATCACTATCGTTACAAATGTTTGAGGATAACATAAAAACTAATTAAATATACAAATAAATACTAATATACAATAAAAAATGAAATATAAAGAATATAAATGCAAGATCGAACGGTACTCACACAATTACAACCACCAGCAGCATGAAAGAGAAAGCATATAACACAACAACTTAAATAAATAAAACAATCAGTTTAATATTAAAATTCCCAAAACAAAACAAAAAAAAAACTTGTAGTCTAACACCAATAAATTGTAAAACATTATAAACGTCGGACTAGGCAGTAAGGTTATAGATGCCTTTGTCAAGCAAGTAAAATATAAAAAGTAGAAATAAATCTAAGAATTCTCTGTCTACGCCTAAGAATGCTTCAGTCAGCCTCTGTGGTTACAGTACTCTAGTATTGATAAAGTAATCTATGGTTACAGGTAACAACTGTCAGTCTTAAAGTAAACAATAAAAATAAAACATAAAAAAGAAGAAATTAGGATAAACAATTAATCTAAATACCTGTAATGTGGAATAATTAAAATAATTTGAGAAACAGTCTTCAAAATAGTGCAACCAATTAGAAATGATGTCATTGAAATATATGGCAAAAAATTCTAAATTAATACCTGATAACCAAAAGTTACAAAAAATACATGAATTGATCTGCTGGAGTACATGAGTAAAAGCCAAACTATAAGAAAAACACGCCACCTTCATTTTTTAGTCGTCTTCCTAGCCCTAGCAGTAGTAACACAGGGCTTAGGAGCAGAAGATGCCGCCGCCGCCGCTGTCGTCGCCGCCGTCGTCGCAGTCAAAGATGAGGTAGTAGGAACACCACACGCTGCATCAGGAATGGCGATTACCTCAGCCACGGTGTACACCCGGTGCTTCGTGCCATCGAACCCAAGACATATCCATTTTGTGACCAACACTGGGATACGTCAAAGCGCTTTCGAGCAGCAACGAACGCCTCATGACGGCCCTTAGTCAAGAACTCGGATAGAGTAACTCCGCTACCCTTTAACTTGGTTTTAGAAAACCAGACTTTATCACGGACATCCTGATCTCGAAACTTCACAAGCAGTGCACGAGGCTTGCCGCCACGGGGTTGCCCTAAGCGATGGCATCTAGTGATAGATCTCACAGTAATTTCAGGGATATTCAATCGCTCCGATAATATCTTACTTGTGCAATGAACTGGGGTTTCATCTCGGGCTTCAGGCACACCATGCACAAGCAACATCTTCCTCCTGGTCCTTACCTCCATTTCATCTTGATTCCTAGAGAGAAGGCGTTAAATTGTGCATTAATGTTGGAAGAAGGGCTTGTTGCAGGGATGGATGTTCTGACCTCCCTCTGGAACTCATCCATACGTGTAGTGAAATTCAGCGTTAGCTCTTCAATTGACTTCTTAAGCAAATCTATTATGAATATTCAATTAAAGGTTATTCAAAGGTCAATGACAGGTGACAGTGAAGTGGCAATAATAAGTTTTAAGTTGTGCAGTGAAAAACAAATTATTAGTAAACAATGCTGGTGGATTTATGTACTTACAGATACATTTATATATGTAACTCTTGAAATTATTTTGACTATCAACAGGAGAAAAAGCTGAACAAAACCGAACGTCTCCGGTTCCGCGAAGAGGCTGATATGCTAAAGAAGCTCCAGCATCCCAACATCGTACGCTTCTATAACTACTGGGAGGGCACCGTCGCCAAGAAGAAGAACATTGTATTGATCACTGAGCTCATGCTTTCTGGGACACTTAAAGCGTAAGTGAACTTTCTATCATTGTTTCTGCCCCTCACAGGTCCATTGCTGAGCTTAGACCTCTCTCAAGGAATGCCACAAAGCATGGTCCCGAACCACCTGCATTTATCGACTTTATGCATGACTTACCAGGTCGTTACTCCATCTAGTGCAAGGTAGTTCAACAATTTGTTGACAAGTATGAGGCAGCCACATGAGGACCTCTCTTCCATATCGGTTGTAGGTTTATCAAACTAGGTCCATATATGGCATGCCCATTGCCGCTTCAGCTTACTGATCTGATACAATGATAGTGAGAGTCCCGAGGCAAAGTATTACTCAGCAAATTAAATAGTACGAACATGAAACAGATACATAAATACATTAAAGTAAAGTGTACTGTTTGTAAATATATTTTCTTTCGTACCACTTACTGCCTGTGACAATGACGATGGTGGTGGCAAAACTTTACATAATCTTCTTTACAGATGATTCAGTTTTTTTTAGAAAGATTTAGAATTCCAACTAATTCTCTACCTAAAACTATTCCATAACATTGTCTTCCACTCCTACTTACTATTAATCTAAAGCTAAGATAGTATTAACATTGCAGCAGGGTAGTATTCAGATAGAATAATGAGCTTAAACTCAAACTCCACAATGTCAAAATGTGCCTCGTACATACTATACTCTATAAATTTTTACTACCCATTTAGAATAGTAAAATGAGGTCTCTGCAGCGACCCTTTAAAAAAGCAGCGTTTGTTGATAAGGTTCAATATGCTAGGTAAAATGCTTCATTTCGAATTTACTCTAAGGAATATATTTTACTTTGAGCGCATAGAATTTTTTGTAGGCACTTCATGCCTGGTGGTTGATTTAGCAGTAAACAAAACTAATTTGGTGAGTTATAATCTGGGTCAAACCAATACTTATGAAATGCAATAATGATTATTTTAATGTTGAGACTTTAACATTGTATCGCGACTTAGACGTTGAGACTAAAGCAGAATGTGTAATATTTATTGTATCTTTGAAAAATCATCTTAATAATATTAATAATATATTTATTGTTTCTCACATAACTTATACAAACAAATCATATTGAAGCTCCGTAGCCCGTGGTAGTTGAAAACTGTGTTACAGGCTACAGCATCTTTTTCAATTGTTAGAATTCTATAAGAATATAAGTCGTCATAACATCATTACTTATTCTAGATTCATGTTACAGGTACCTGCGGAGATTCAAGAGGATCAATCCCAAAGTCCTCAAGTCATGGTGCCGACAGATCCTGAAAGGGTTGAATTTTTTGCATTCTAGGACACCGCCAATTATTCACAGGTATTTATTGTTCTATAATGCTTGGATAATGTATAATGTTTATGGAGTCATGTGACTACGACTGATATGTAATTATTCAGCACTAAATCACTTAAGTTAACTTGATATATAATGTAAATTTATTATCTGGCTTAGAAGCCAGGATTCTTTAGCTAGTTAAGTAAGCATGTAAACTGTCGGATTAAATTTTTTTACTTGTTTTATAGAGATCTGAAATGTGATAACATCTTCATAACTGGCACCACGGGAAGCGTGAAAATTGGAGACCTCGGCCTTGCTACATTGAAGAACAGGAGTTTTGCCAAGTCCGTTATTGGTAAGTTTTAGTGATGTTTACGATACATTTATTTATTTAACTTTTTCTTCACGCTATATGGGACGGCCCATTGCTATTCCACTAAGTGCTCTGTTGAACTATGTCGATTGCTCTAGTTCTACTGTGAATATCTTAATTTTGAATTCTATCACACAGAAAAACTCCGAGCATAGCCCTTTCCATAGCTCCCTGAGAGTGTCAAAAGAGCTTCCTTATATGGCAGCAGTAAAGACAACATCTTATTACATGTGGCAGTTTAACCTAACCCCATAAAAAGAAACAAATGAATTTCATCGTGTTTAATGTTGAAATGTACAATATTATCATACAAATATATTAAAAATCCCTTACTAACAGCTGTATGTAACAAAAACGCTGACTGTGTTCCCTCGCTGAATGGCTATACTTAGCCTTTGTGCAACAAAAAAATCAGCCCTCTTGTCATCAGCAGCGATAAGTCACAGAAGTCTTTAAGAACTTCACCGCAAGTGGATTTTATGGGACTGATAGACTTTACAGCAAATGGTACGAATATGTAATCATCTCTAAAAGACTCATACTTACGACACATATTCAGCTAGGCCGCCTCTGATGCCGCCTAGATTCTAACCGGGTAGCACCGAGTTGAGAGGTTGCCAAAATATTGCGTGCATAGATCCATTAGGCCACACCGTCGGACCTCCTGTTATTGTATGTAAATATTCTAGACTGCCTCGTTGGTCTAGAGTTTGTAGTAGTGCGACTGCTGATCAAGAGGGTCTTGGGTTCGAATCCCGTGTCGGGCCAAAAATCAATTATTGAGTTTTTCTGTCAAGAAATTCTCAGTAGCTGCCCGGAGTCAGTTGGCGGTGTCTCACCCCCGTGCCTCGGAAAGCACCTAAAGCCATTGGTCCTGCGCCTGATCTCTCTCCTGCTTGTGTCGGTTTACCGTCCCATCGAAATACGAGAGTGAGGGAATAGAGAGTGCACCGGTGCTTGCGCATACACTTGGACACTATAATCCTGTCCTGCGCCGATGGCTAGCCTCCGCTGAGGCTGGCCGCCGTGGCCGAAATTCGGTCTGGAGGACATTATATTATTCTACAAAGCTCTTGAATTATAGAAATACAACAATTTATAGAGACAAGAGATAAATACGTTTAGAAAGCTGCCACAGCATTTCAAGTAGCGACGTTCGAGCGCTTTGCCCCCCCCCTCTCTATGGTAACCCGTTTCATGTACATACTATATAAATAGGGCATAATCGTAAATTCACAATATCAGAAATGTCAACAATAACAAAACGGGCTATTCAAGTAAGGAGTCCGCACACCACTATTCGACAGTTGTTAAAGGTCTTAATTGAACACTAAGTAGTAAATAGCAGTGGTGGTATCTCCATATTAGCCGAAAAGGTCGGCATGCCCAATTAAATCCACTACACCAAATGTAAACTAATTACAAGATCATATTTAAATTTTCGCGCCTTTCGTATGCACTTCATTACTACACATTCGTAACTGATTATGAGATAATATTTTTTTTACTTGCATAATATTTTAAGGACTACAAACATCATTAGGTCAATAACGTGCAAACGCAACCAATCAACCGACGAATCGGGGCATACTCATCCATATCGCTTGCACTCATTGGCTTCATATTGGGCTTTACAAACGCATCCGCACCATTCTAATCTACGAAAAATGGACAGGTGTGATGGTGAGCGTAGAACCGTTCACAATAGTAATATTACCCCCTGTTTCCTTCATCTTCATCACCAGCCTGCAAAAGTCCACTGCTGGACTTGGGAAATTCCAAGGGTGCATAAGCCAACATTGCGCGCTTAGCAAGCGATTAGGAAATTCCAAGGGTGCATAAGCCAACATTGCGCGCTTGGCAAGCGATTAGGAAATTCCAAGGGTGCATAAGCCGACATTGCGCGCTTGGCAAGCGAATAGGAAATTCCAAAGTTGCATAAGCCGACGTTGCGCGCTTGGCAAGCGAATAGGAAATTCCAAGGGTGCATAAGCCGACGTTGCGCGCTTGGCAAGCGATTAGGAAATTCCAAGGGTGCATAAGCCGACGTTACGCGCTTGGCAAGCGAATAGGAAATTCCAAGGATGCATAAGCCGACGTTACGCGCTTGGCAAGCGAATAGGAAATTCCAAGGGTGCATAAGCCGACATTGCGCGCTTAACAAGCGAATAGGAAATTTCAAGGGTCCATAAGCCGACATTGCGCGCTTAACAAGCGAATAGGAAATTTCAAGGGTGCATAAGCCGACGTTGCGCGCTTAGCAAGCGAATAGGAAATTCCAAGGGCGCATAAGCCGGTATTGCGCGCTTAACAAGCGAATAGGAAATTCCAAGGGTGCATAAGCCGATGTTGCGCGCTTAACAAGCGAATAAGAAATTTCAAGGGTGCATAAGCCGACGTTCCGCGCTTGGCAAGCGAATAGGAAATTCCAAGGGTGCATAAGCCGGCATTGCGCGCTTAACAAGCGAATAAGAAATTCCAAGGGTGCGTAAGCCGACGTTGCGCGCTTGGCAAGCGAATAGGAAATTCCAAGGGTGCATAAGCCGACATTGCGCGCTTAATAAGCGAATAGGAAATTCCAAGGGTGCATAAGCTGCCATGTAGTCTCAAATATTACTTATTCATCATTATTCATCTCGATTCTATGTGGGCCCGTCCCGGTGCCAAAAAAGGTGTGGGATGCCCTCATTAGCACCGCAGTATGAAATGTGTCTCACTGTTGACACTGCTGCTACTGGTCGCTGGTCTGGGTGTTAACTTTTGGCGTAAACAAGCGCCATCTATCGGGTGCCTTGAGATGAATTGAAAGGGATTCTCTAAAGAAATATCATCAAAAATATAGTTTCAATTTTTGAAATATTTCGTTGTTTGTTGTTGCACAGGCACGCCGGAGTTCATGGCGCCGGAGATGTACGAGGAGCACTACGACGAGTCGGTGGACGTGTACGCGTTCGGCATGTGCATGCTGGAGATGGCCACGGGCGAATACCCGTACAGTGAGTGCAGCGGACCCGCGCAGATTTATAAGAAGGTTGTCTCGGTAAGCCACCTTTCACTGTTATCTGCAGAAACGCGAATCACACGCATTGGGTCTCATCACCATTTACCACCAGGTGGGATTGTAATATGTTTATAATAAGTAAAAAAATCAGCCCTTAAAAGTAACGAGTTTTCTTAAAATTTCTAGGATATGCGTCTTCATCATTACAGCTAATTACTAGTCCAATGCTAAACATAGGCCTCTCCCAAGAAATACTACAAAGTATACCTGTGCCACCTTTATAATTCGACTACCTCGTTGGTCTAGTGGTAGCAAACAAGGTTGCTGATCATGAGGTCCTGGGTTCGAATCCCAGGTCGAGGCAAAATCAGTTATTGGGTTTTTTGTCAAGAAGTTCTCAGTATAGCCGCAGTATAGTCATAGCAGCTTAATGCGGCTGTGTTTCGTATGGTGAGTGTAGAGAACCGGAGACCCTTTTTACTGGGATTGAGGCATTCCATGTTAGTCCTCAGAGGTGACCACACATCTGCATTTTGATTCTTAATCGAATGTAGATGTCTATGGGTCACAGCAACCACACCATTAGGTGGTGTGCTCGTTTGTCACCCTTATCCTATAAAAAAGCAGCCCGGACTCAGGAAGTTGGTGGTGTTTCTCCCTCGTGCCTCGAAAAGTACGTAAAACCGCGGGTAGTGCGCCTGATCTCCCTCTGGTTGTGTCGCGTTTTTGTCTCATTAGACTATGAGAGTGAGGTCATAGAGAGTGCACCTGTGCTTTCTTGCTCATTAACTTGGGCACTATAATCCCGCACTGCGCTGATGGCTAGTCTCTGTTGAGACTTGCCATCTTGCGAAGTGATTCCTCTCAAATATGAACTATCTTTGTTTATGTAGTCTGTTTATTTTTTTAAGCAATCCAAATAATTGATTTAGCATTTTGTGTTTCCTTAGGGAGTCAAACCACAAAGCTTGGAAAAAGTCACCATTCCAGAAGTAAGGGATATCATTGAGTCATGCATCAGGCCGAATAAAGCAGACAGGTAAAAATTTTTCAAAACATTATTAATTTTTTTTGTAATTTCGAATTTTGAATCTCTTTAAATATATTTAATTTTTATTATTCTTTAATTATTTTATAACTCCCGGAGTCCCTACGAAAAAAAAAAAAAGTAATTAAACGGAAATAGTAAATAATAGTTTTATTCAATGTGTAGTGTTCGTAAATTTAAGAAATCACTCTTTAAAAATTATTTATAAAACATTGTGACAAAAATAATTCGAGTAGATATATAGTCTACGAACGTACATTGGGACATTCTCACAGACTTTCCTGCTCCGAAACCCTCGTGTGTGAATGAGGAGAAATAAAGACCTGTTCCTAACAACAGGGACCTGTGAGGATGCCGTGTTAATTATTTTTACTTATATTTTTATTACCTAATAAATTTTAAAAATAATTACCATATTATCACTCCTCTTTTTAAAGAAGACTACTTTAATTTTAATTTTTTAATTCCCGACGTTTCTGGCACTTCATAGCACCGATTGTGAGGTGTTTGACGTGGCGATGTCACAAATAATGCTCTTCAAATTGCACAAAAATAAATTCGCCACGCTGTAGCGTATAATGGCTGCAGCATGAATGGGTGGAATCGAATCGAGGAAAGAGAGGTGAGAGGCGAAAACCGAGAGAACGAGGCATTATACCTTAGTCCTTGGGTTATTCATTGAGGACAAATCAGGTGTCTATGAGTTTCAGCATTTACCAGGGACGGACCGTTAATTTGTTGGGCACTGGGCTAACGTTACTCGGGCGCTACCATATTAAACTAAATAACTGGTAAATTATTTAATCGATGGTTCAACATTGTTGGGCGCATATTTGTTTTTTTCATATGACATCCTGAGAAACAGCGCTCTGCTTCACAGCTAGTGCTTGGTAACTTTAAAAAATTGTAAGATAGTAAAGCAATTCGGAAAAACATCAACAAATTTCTTTTCATTAATTAGCATAAACATTTCACTGCAAGAGTCGTAAGACTAGCTTAGACTTTAGTAATATTTTAACCGAATTTACTCATTCACTAAATATTCATCTACATCATCTGAATAATAATCAATAATATTACGTAGGTACACTTTCCAGATCTGCAATCATTATTTATTGTTGCCTTGCAAATCCATTTAAGATTTGAATAGCTTATCCAACGCAACGTTTAGCGTGTATCTTAAAAAAATTACTAAAACTAAAAATTTTGAAGTAATCCGTCTCTTGTTTGTCACTGTATTCTGCTCCCACTCTAGTATTTAAGTTCTAGCTTTCTCCTCGTATCTCCTCGTATAAAAAAAAAAAAATAGTAAACTTTTATATTGTGTTGTAATAACTAAGAATGTTTTGTTTAATTAGGCCAAAAGTAAAGGATCTTCTAAACCATGAGTTCTTCGGTGAGGACATTGGACTGCGGCTTGAGATTGTCGGTCGCGATCTCGTTACTTCTTCTGACATCACCAAGATACAGTTTCGGCTCAAGATCATCGATCCCAAGAAGAGGTCAGTATATTAAGCAGGTAGCAAAAGAATATTTGTGTAACAAGTTGGAATAAGAAAGCTGAAGATTCATCACTCTCGATAGAAGTGCTTGAATAGGTTAAAGCTGGCGCATTCACGGTTAAAGTTTTTGAATTCTATTTCTGTGGCCAGCTTCATTTAAAAGAAAAACAGTAATATTTATCTTAAAAAATATAAGTTGGTGGTATTAGTTTGACTCCCGTTGTTCGGGTACTTATAGGTCCCATGTTATTGTGGGACTTACGAGTATAACATAAAAGAATGTGCCAACTTTGTCACTGGTCTAACATCTCGATAAAGGCGACTAATAGGCTATTGGGTTTGTTCTTGTGTGCGATAAGCTTCATGGTCCGAGGAATTTGCCTATTCCTTCGGGGATTAAAGGAGTGAAGCTATGTATTTATGAATATTAATTAATTTTAATTGTTGGGGTTATTTGCGTGATGTGTATGCTTTCTGAGTACTAACCTCACCTGCACTCGGTGCACACTGCTCACTGAGTAACGAGGCTCTGGCGACCGACAGACGCCGTTCATTCATTTGAAGATACAGAACTTAAATACTGCAGATGGGTTATGCGATTACCAGCCCATTAGCCAAGAGCTGAGTAAGGGCAAATATTTCGAGTTAAGAAATAGTAGGCGCATTCTTGAAAATGGTTACATCCTTTTTTATGATGTAGCTCGTAGAATCTTGCAGTGGGGTAAGAAAGGTTGTTAAAATGGCTATCATTGATAAGAGTATTACATTACCCGTAGGTCATACACGCATAAGGAGAACGAGGCGATCCAGTTTGAGTTCGACATGGAGCACGACGACTGCGAGGAGGTGGCCAACGACATGGCCAAGGCGGGTCTCATCATGGAAGAGGACGCGCGCATCGTCTTCAAGCTGCTCAAGTCTCAGCTCATCTCGCTCAACCGGTCAGTGCTTAAATTTTTTCTTGTCACTTCACAGTCTTTAAAAAGAAACATCTAAAATTAAACAAAATTTACAGCTCATTTTCAATCCTTCAGTAATAGGTTGGCAACATTTTGAAATTCTTTGGCGGAAATCTCTACGTATAGTGAATATATACCATTTGATCTTTACTCTGTGCGACTGTTTGACCACAGACTATTATGTGTTTGACATTGGCGTAAACAGTGAATGTTTGATTTAATGTATTTTTAGCACGTATTATTTATACATTTTAGCTTATGCACTTCTTCACGATTTAAACTTTAACTTTTTACTGTGGGGATTTTCATTGTCCTTCGTACAATATTATTTTTGTATAAGATACTTTAATTTTTAAATGTTTTGTTACTTTTGGACAGTGAATAAATATTTTATATACACACATACACATACACATATACACTCCAGTAAGAAAGTGATGTTCTTGAAAGAGATGAAAGTTAAAAAGTATGTGAAATAAAATAGAGAATGAATGCAGGACACATAAATGAATTCACTTTTGCTTCTATTATATACGAATGTATTTTATTTGTTGTAAACAAAGTACATTATAGTCAACCAAATCTAAGACAAGCCCCATTTTGACAGCTGTCAGACTTATTGCACCAAGCATGCCAACCAAAAAATGGGAACGTACAATATTCGATTCTTAAAAAAATCGATATTGATTATTTAGAGTTGGTAATCATTTACAGTTTGGTTTGAATAATACCAGAATAAATCAAAAACGGATGATTAAAAACACAAAATTTGTGAATTTCTTCGTATTTGTTGTTACTGCTTATTTCTAGAGGTACGGTTATAAAATTTTAAGATTGAAACTAGATTAAAAATAAATTTATTCAATGACTTTCAGTACAACTAGGAGAGCTATCGTTGTTTAGATTAATTGTTATTTGATTTTCAATAATGCAGTCAAAATTAATGTCTCTTTCAATAAAATAATCAATTTTTTCTACCACTTTTGCCCAATCAACCTTTGTGACATGAGCATATGCTTCAACATATGTATAAGAAACAGTCCAAAAAGTTAAAGCTGAGTCACAAAATAAGAAGACAAATGCAAAATCCCAAAATTACTCACAGTAAGCTCCCGAAACGGAGGAGATTGAAATTACGTAGTGGCTTTTTCAGCGCGGCCTTGTATATGAGTTTTTTTCCTACATAAATTTACTGTTAATGTAAATTTATGTAGGCAAAAAAAACTCAAAAGTAAAAAACATAAACTTGCTTTATTCATGATTCATGTAATTTTAGGAATTTTAAAAATAAAAATTTAATTAAACAATAAAAATTAAATTAAATTAAAAGTAATGATTCGATTATTTGAATATTTTTATCGATTATTTGAATTGCCGATTATTCGCATAACAATGAATTTTAATCATTCAAACAGTACGGTAAGGTTCATAGAGACATCATTGAAACGACGTCAAGTAAAATTATTGATATTGGTAATTTTTTTTAATTTGCTTTTTTTGAACGATTCGAGTTTAAATAAGTAATAAAAAACTATACACGTTGTAATGAAATACAGATAACTTCATAATTCTAAAAGATTATTTTAAATCGTGTGAGTACGCTTGTGCAAAGTTATTGCGGAATGATTAATGTGAAACGTCAAAAGGTATTTCTTAGATTTGGTTGACTATAATTACTCAATTATTGTACACAAGAACTTTTTTCTGGTGCCTGGCTTTAATGTGCATTTGAAAGTGAAATACAACTGGCTTTATATACAAACTTAAAATATAATGAATTACGGTCGAATTACTATATACAGCCGACCACTGGACGGCCAATTGTTAAGTAGTTTCAAATTTTTACAAATCAATCGAGACCACGCCACCATTTATAAATCCAGTCAACGGTCTATTAACGTAGACTTTAGAATTAGGTATTAAATCCGGATATGCTACCGCTGCCAATTAATGCCTGAATGTGACCTTTAGATTATTCGATCAGTTTATCTGGGTACACTGCTTCAACTATTTTAGTTTTAAATGTAGTCGATATTTTTAAAACACAAGTAAAACAACTTTGATAAACCTAAACTCATAATTCACGGGTTTCATCATAATCATCATTACACCCCATCACTAGTCACTTCTGAACATAAGCTTCCTCCGAGGAACGCCACGAAGCAATTCACGCACATGCTTACATTTATAAATTTAAAGATAAAGAGAGTAAAAATAACATCTAAACTATTGATTCTTTACTTTGGCATTGTTATTCTTATTAAAAAAAAGTTAATAATTGTGAAGAAGTAAGTGTCAATAAATAAAACCGCATTGACATGTTCATAACATACTCGGTCCCAGTGGCCTCGTACGAGTCAACTTCATAGGATTGTACACGGAAAATCGTTTACACTTGTCTTCAAATACATTTGAGATCAAAACTCAAAAACATGGTACAAAGAGAGATCTTTTATTTCAAGGTGTTGAAGTTGTTTCAAATATATTAGTAAAAGAGCTGGAAAAAATTTACTTGTAATATAAAGTAAAAGCCTACTTTAAGTAACTATAAAGAATGAAAAAAAAATTATAATCTTACATTCTGAATTCGGAACTTTAATTCTTATGTACACCATATCTTAGCACCGGAATCGTAAATGGATTTTAAGGTGTCTAGCGCACTTTTCTTTTGCAGCCGCCATTTTGTTTCACTACTAGCTCGCTCGTAAAAATATATATATTCGTGTCAATATAATACATACAGGCCCTGGCGTTATTAGTGGTCCATCGTTAAGTATTCGATAAAACAGATAATTTACTTTAACATATTATAATTTTAATAATTATACCCAAGGGTTCCCGTTTTTTTTTCATTCTTTTTTTATTATTGTAACACAAACAGTCATTACATATCAAGTAGAGTATTAAATAATAGAATCAGGCGTTACTTTGCGGAAATCCATTACATAAAATAAAATGATGTCTTAGTGTCTTACCTAGTTTAAAGAGCGTCTCCCGTCCTGCCTCGATTGCGTGCGCTAATCCCGTCACCACTACTCCCGTCACCACTACTCCCAACACCAATACACACCCAGTTAACGATTCTATAAAACAGATAATAGATAATAGTGGCTAGGTAGGTCAGGTAGGTCTGAGTAAGGATCCTCTCTGAGTAGGTATTCGCGACACTGCTCAGTTGGAGCATACTCTGATCCTGTCAACGCGGCTTATGCTAAACATACAACGTTAGAGTATCAATTTAATGATACCAATCTATTAAGCTTGCTGTGCAGTGCTCGGCGCAATAACAGCCTGTCCTTCATATCATCCGGTGGGTGTAGTAAGAGTCAAAAGAGCTAACCTGAAACTGAAGTTAGGCAGCGGCATCTTCCTGATGACGACCGAAAATAATTAAAAAAAACTGCGGCCGTAAACCCACCATGATTGGCTGTAATAAATGATGAACTGAATCTAATAAGACCTACCTATAAAAGTTGGGAAAATCTACATCGCCGTTATTCTGCCAGCGCCTGCATTTTATACCAGTACGACTGACATATGATACTTATCAAAATTTGTCATCTCGACGACTTCCAGCCTCCCGAACAAGCCGGTTTCCGAAAAGGCTTCAGTACCATAGACCACATACATACCCTTCGGCAAATTGTACAGAAGTCCGAAGAGTACAATCTGCCACTTTGCCTGGCGTATGTGGACTATGAGAAAGCCTTTGATTCCGTCGAAATTTGGGCGGTGCTACAGTCTCTTCAGCGGTGCCTAGTTGACTGTCGGTATATCGAAGTGCTGAAGTGTTTGTACAGTAGGGCTACGAGTACAGAACCAGAGTACGAAACCTATCCAACTGCAGAGAGGTGTAAGACAGGGTGATGTTATATCCCCGAAACTCTTCACCGCTGCGTTGGAAGACGTTTTCAAGCTACTGGACTGGAAAGGATACGGTATTAACATCAATGGCGAGTACATCACTCACCTTCGATTTGCCGACGATATAGTCCTTATGGCAGAATCGCTGGAGGATCTTAGCACTATGCTCAATGACCTCAATGGTGTCTCCCAACGGATAGGTCTTAAGATGAACATGGACAAAACAAAGATCATGTTTAATGTCCATGTCACACCTATGCCGGTAATTGTTGGGAGCACTATGCTCGAAGTTGTTGACGAGTACGTTTACCTGGGACAAATAGTCCGACTAGGTAACTTCGACCGAGAGGTCAATCGGCGGATTCAACTCGGCTGGGCAGCGTTCGGGAAATTACGACACATCTTCTCATCAGGTATACCTCAATCTCTGAAAACTAAAATGTACAACCAGTGCGTGTTGCCAGTGATGACTTACGGATCTGAGACGTGGTCCTTCACCGCTGGCCGTATGAGGACGCTCAAGGTCGCTCAGCGAGCTATGGAGAGGGCTATGCTCGGAGTTTCACTGCGTGATAGACTCAGAAATGAGGATATCTGCAGTGAAACCAGAGTGACCGACATAGCCCAACGGATTAGTAAGCTGAAGTGGCAATGGACCGGCCATATAGTTCGAATAACCAATAACCGATGGGGAAGAAAGGTTCTCGAGTGGCAGCCTCGTACCGGTAGGCGTAGTGTAGGGCGACCCCCACTAGATGGAGTGACGACCTGGTAAGACATGCAGGAAGTCGATGGTTGCAGGTGGCTCAGGACCGTGCTTTGTGGCGTTACCTGGGGGAAGCCTATGTTCAGCAGTGGACTTGTGAAGGGCTGTAATGATGATGATGATGATGAAAATTTGTCATGAGCATTCGTGAAAAAATAACACACAAGGTCTTTAAATATATAATAGCCGTTCTGTAGTACTGGCGAATTCAAATCAAAATATTTTTTGTTTGGTTAAGAATTCAAATTTCAAATTAATTTTATTTTAAAAACATGCCATTCTTTTTTCAAAGTTAGTAATTTGTTTATTGTTAAACATTATGTTTTCATCGCATTTTAATCATTTTTGTGAA